ACATTTAGGAGTGAAAATGAACTCTAAAAAATATAGTTTAAAAGCCAATTTCTAGTTCTCTGTTCTTTTAAGATTTATTCTTTCAAATTACTTTTAACATTTTCAGAAAAGCCCGTATTATAGTCTATATAAGTATATTAGGATGTACATAAAAGCAGGTGCTGTCTGGTAGGTGTGGCTCAGTGGTTGAGCATCAACCTATGAAATAGGAGGTCATGGTTGTAGTCCCTGTCAGGGCATATGCCAGGTTTGAGGGCTTGGTCCTCAGTAGGAGGCATATAGGAAGCAATTGATCAATGATTCTTTCTCATTATTGACATTTCTATCTCTCCCTCCCTCTCTCTCTGAAAAATAAAAATATATCTTAAAAAGTAAATAAAATAAAAGATGGTGCTATCTTGACAGTAATTAGCTTTTAGACTATTAGTACTGTCAAATTCTATGTCCTGTTCATGTTACATCTATGTTCTAAGCCAAGCTCTAAAAAAGTATTATTCTATTTTTCCCCTATTTGTGCTAATATTGCACTCAACAGAAATTGGGTAACTTGAAAAAATATATATTAAAGTATTATCTTGATAACATTTCCCAGGTATAAAACTGTCATGAGGTGTAAAATTTTCTGCCCTAGGTATGTTATGTACCTTGTAAGAGATTAACATAAAGATCTGAATGGATCCTTTATCCCTAATCTCCTTTAAAACAGTCTGGAGGAGGAAGTAGGAGGGGAGCCTGAGAAGGACCAGCTAAGCTCAGGTTGGAGGAAACACCTGACCATGTGGAATCCCAGTGCCGGGCAGCCAGGGCTAAAACTATATCCCCTTAATGTCGAGTACCCTGGAGGTTCCAATCTTGCCCATCTACTGCCTGTCAACCCTGCCTTTCCTCCGGCTCCCTTTCCTCCTCCCCCTGACCCCTTTCCCACTCCCCCAGGAGCTCCCCAGGGGAATCCAGCTTACCCCCCAGTCAGGCCTCCTTATCCTGTGCCACCACTAGCGAATCCAGGATACCAACCACCAGGCCTCATATCCCTCTCCATATCCACCACCTGCCCCTGGCATGCCTCCTATTAATCCTTCGGCTCCTGGCATGGTAACACCAGGAATGGTGACTGAGAAGAAAATGTGGAAGAAAATGAAGAAAGCTCAAAAAAGTTACAGGCACACCATAAGCATGGCAAGCACTCCTCCTCCTCCTCTTCCAGCAGTGACTCTGACTGAATACAGGGTCTGGACCTTACCGCCAAGTCTCTCCAGTTCTGCTCTCCCATCAAGCTTCAATGCCATCTTGCACTGGGGAAAATTAGAAATGTGTCTCTTGACCCATGGACCCCAATCTGAGCATCACTCTTGCTATTCAGCCTTAACTGCTTAGGGGAAATGGGGGGGGGGGGGGAATGCCATGAGCCAAAACCTGTATGGCTTAGTGGATAGAACATCGACCTGCGGACTGAAAGGTCCCATATTCGATTGTGGTCAAGGACACCTTCCTTGGTTGCAGGCACATCCCCAGTAGGGGGTGTGCAAGAGGCAGCTGAAGGATGTTTCCCTCTCATTGATGATTCCAACTCTTTATCCTTCTTCCTTTCTCTGTAAAAAAATCTATAAAATATTTTTTTAAAAAATCTGGAGCTACTCTTCAGGTCAGTCTCTAATATCTTGACTTTTAGACCTTGTTCATGAAATCTGGTATCAGACAAGAAATACCAGATCTCAATGGGATAGCTTTAATTTATTCGGCAACTCATACCCCTGACTTGACTCTCCTTAGTTCCCTGAGAACCAAAAATAATACATTCATTCTAGGTTTTTAAATGCATCTTGCAGGGCCTTTTGTGACCTTTCTATTTAATGTGTTAATCTGTGGGATAATTCTGCTGCTCTTGTTGCCTATGCCTAAACCTACATTCCCAAAACATATGCTGGGAAATGACCATATATTGGGTTGTAATATATAAACTTGTGAAAAGCAAACATATGGTACTGAAAAAAGTTCTATGAGTTTAAAAATTTGAGGAGAAAGTTGTAAAGTATGATGAAAATAACTATACCTCATAGACAGATATTGTAGTTAGCAGAGGACACACATATTTTCAATTGATTTAAATTTAAAAGCTTTGGGATAGCTTTGTACACAAATATTTTTTTTTAATTTATGTGTTATACATTTTTCTTATCTAACTCTAATGGACTTCATTCATTTTTCCCTATTATATTACACTGGCAAGGCCCTCCAGAAAACTGTTGAATAAAAGCAGTATGAATAGATTTCATTTTCAAACTCAAAGAGAAATGGCTTCCATTAAATATGATGCTTTCTATCTGAATGAATTAGGTGGCTTTATAAGAGTAAAATGTGCACCTTAATTAAATCCAACTTACTTGTGATGCATTATCAACTATATATTTGACACTTTCTATTATACATATATTTTTAATGTACATTTCAGATTTGATTGCTAATATTTGGTTTAGGATGTTTGCACATATATTTAGGAGAGAGAATGACCATTAATTTTTCTTCTGTGTAACATTCTTTTTAGGTTTTGTATTCATGTTATATTTGCCTCATTAAATGAATTGGGGACAAGTTCTCTTTTTCTGTTCTTTGGCAAGTTCTAAAAAAGAGGGATTTTTGTCTGTTACTACTTATTGCTTTGGTTTTACTATGATGTGTAGTTTTCTCTTGGAATTTATGATTTATGTCTTTAATAGATTTTTGACTTTTGATCGTTCTATCTTCAAATGATGTTTGCCTCATCATGCTTCTCCTCTACTTTTATAGTTATAATTATATGAATATTATAATTTCATACTATGTTTTATGTTTCTAAAAATACTTTTTATCTTTTTATCTCAATATTTTAGTTTAAATATTTTTAGATCACTTTGTCTTTTTCATCTGCATCCAGATTGTAAATTCATTCATTTTCCAAAAATATCAGGTTATAGCATTATACTTTATTTATTTCCATTTGATTTTTTCATATAGAATAATGTGCTGTGAAATTCTTCAGCTTGCCGCTAAAAGATATCAATGACAGATATTTTCACATCTATTAAGTAATTATGACCCATCTATTCAGAGATTCCTGCAGCATCAGGGAGCCTGTTTCTAGTCTCTGTTATTCTCCCTATGTCCTGTTTCTTTATAGGCCTGATATTCTTTTTCTTTAATGGCAAACATCATATATGTGCAAAAGAAAACAGAGTCCAGATGAGGTTATCTTTTACTAAAAATAATGTATTTTGACTGTTTTCTGACATTTAGATTAGGAAATTACCTCATTGCCATTAGAGATTTTACTTATTCAAATCTAAGTTTCAGTCTCTGCATTATCTTATCTTTTTTCCAATGTCCTTAACCCCTAGGATACAGCCCTTAGGAAGTCTGGGTGAGAGCTTGTGTATTTATCACAGTCCCTTTTCCCTGTTGGTCCTTAAATTCAGATGTTTATTTTTCTAGCTCTGTTTAACTCCTCAGCCTTCTACAATGCATTCTCTGTCGTCTAGCATGGCTTAGGAATCAGCTAATACCTCCAGAGAAAATGTGGTTCACGATGACAGCCTTACCTAACATTCCCTCCTTCATGGCACCTCTTCTACCTTTCTGGCTAATGTTGGAACCCACAATTCCAATATCCATTATTTCCCCAAAACCTCATGACACTAACAAAAGTGTGCTTAGCTGCTATATTATATTGGGCTTCTCATACTCTCACCCCATGCTGCTTATAATTAGTAAATACCCAGAGGGTGGGACCAACACAGACTAATGAGCTGACCTCCATGAATTCGCCTTTACTAGAGGATCTTGGCCCTTCACGGCATAGCTGCTTTAGTAGCTATTATTAAACGCAAATAATCATTTTGATGTTATATGTAGCGTTCTTTCTGGTGCTCTTGGTGAAGGATTTAGTCAGCTACGAGTTTTTGCATTGTAATTGGAAGTAGAATCTTCAATATTGCCCTATATCTTGAAATAAGCCATTTCATTGTTATTCATTACTCTCAATGGTTGTGGTGGACACATCGTACATATATAGATGGTGAGGGTACTTTAAAGTCTTCATCATGAAACAGTAGTTTCATATATGTTAATACATGTAGTAGTCATACTTAAGTATCATGGACTTTTTGAAATCCTTAAGTTTGATGCTTATAATTAAAATATAAATAACTGAAGTAATACATTCTGTATTGTATATTTTTAACCAGTTAGATACAGAATATTACACAGTAATTTGTAATTTATTGTTAATCTTTTATGAATCATGTTTTGTAATTTCTCATAATAAAATTCACTTATTTCTGTAAAGCAACATTTACCATACCTCACAAAAATAATAATTTAAAATAGTATAATAAGGTGATCTACCTCAATATAAAATGGAATAAAGAAACATCTTATTAGTAATTAATTTTAGACTAGGCATGTTTGTATTTTACTATGTCTGGGAGTTTTTCAGGTTTACTAACTTTATGTTATTATAAATACAGACAACTTATCTTTTAAATCTTTTTAAAGACAAAACTGCAGATAAATTTATAATTTATTTACGGCTTCTTGAAGAAAGTTATTTAATCTAAAATAGATTTTTTGTTTTGTTTTGTTAATCTTCACGAGAGGATAATTTTCCATTAAATTTTAGTGAGACTAGAAGAAAGAAAGACAGAGAGAAACATCAGTGTGAGAGAAACACATTGATTGGTTGCCTCCTGCAAGAACCCTGATCAGGGCCCAGGCCAGGGTTTGCCTGCAACCAAGGTATGTCCCTTTGACTGGAATTGAACCTGGGACCCTTTGGTCCTCAGGCCAGTATTCTATCCACTGGGCCAAACCAGCAAGGGCCACAGTAGATTTTTTTTTTTTAAATACTAATAATGATGAAGTTAAAGAGAGAGTTGTTGATTTTCTTTGTACATTTTTAAAATTGTGAATGTAGTTCTGGACAATCTGTGGGCCTTATAAACACCAACATTTTTGTGTGTGGTTTGCAGGCTGTCAGCAACTAGCCATTCATTGGCACCTCAAAGTGATTTGGACTCCAGCAGCTCTGAGGAATTCTATCAGGCCGTTCACCATGCTGAGCAAACCTTCAGGAAAATGGAAAGTTACTTGAAACAACAGCAACTTTGTGATGTTATCCTGATTGTTGGGAACCGCAAGATACCTGCACACAGGTATAGTAATTTGTCTTTCTTGGAAACATGTATTCAGACATTTAAAAGTGATAGTCTGGTAGATAGATTACAAACTTTCATGATTAGAGAATTAAAAATTCATATTTCTAAGAACGCTTGGGTATTTTTCGTTTGCTCTTATTTATTTATTTAATAATCTTTTAAAGAAATAAAACAAATATGATCAGTTCAAAAATACAACTTCTACCCTAGTGGGTTTGGCTCAGGGGATAGAGCATCAGCCTGTAGCCTGCAGATCACAGAGTCCTGGCAATTGATGTGTTTTGGTTTTTTTTCACATCGATATCTCTCTCTGTCTTTCCCTCTCTCTTCCACTCTCCCTAAAAGTCAGTGGGAAAATATCCTAGGGTGAGTATTAACAACAACAACAAAAATACAACTTACAATTATATTGAATGGAAATCAACCTTAAAGTAGTATACAATGAATTGCCAGATGCATAATAATCTGTAATAACCTGGCCACTAAGTGTGTGTGTGTGTGTGTGTGTGTGTGTGTGTGTATTATATTACATTAGAGGCCAGGTACACGGTGGGGGGGGAGGGGAAAAGGGGTTTGGCCTTCAGCCCAGCCTGCACCCTCTCCAATCTGGGACCTCTGGAGGGATGTCCAACCACCCATTTAGGCACTGACATGGGATTGGGCCTAAACAGGCAGTTGGACATCCCTCTCACAATCCAGGACTGCTGGCTTGCAACCACTCTCCTGCCTGCCTTCAAGATCAGGTGGCAGAGAGCTGTCTGACCAACCACTGATCCTTTAGGGGTGGGACTTTCTCCTCCCTGCTGGCAGATGGCTGTAAGGCCACTGAGAGCTATCTGGCCAATGGCTGGTTCTGGCTCTCTGTGAGGTGGGACTTCCTCCTCCCTGTTGTCAGAGTCTGGGCCAGCACAAACTGGGAGACTGCATCAAGTCCCCCTATACCAAAAGACCCAGAGACAACTCCCTGCCCACTTGCGTGTGCCCCTGGACGTAGTATCCACCCTCATGGAGGGGCTGACAGGCCCAAACACTTCCAGAAGCTGAAAGCAATGAGGCTGGATCCGCTGCAAGAGGAGGCCAATCAGTGTTTTTCTCTCTCCCTCCTTCTCCCTCTCCTTATCCTTCTTCCTCCCACCCTCTAAAAAGAAAAGAAAAAAGAAAGAGATATATAAGCATATACAGGGTATCCCAAAATGTATACACACATTGAGTAATTAAAAGCAATGTTTATCAATATAGTTTTCATTTTCAAAATGTAATAAAATCAACTGTTAAAATGTGTACAATTTTTAAACTGCAAGAATGAGCATTATTTTTTTGTTGCTAATCCTCACTAGAGGATATTTTTTCCATTGATTTTTAGAGAGAGTGTAAGGGAGGGGAAGAGACACAGAGAGAAACATTGATGTGAAAGAAACACATCAATTGATTGTTTCCCACACCCACTTGGAGGGGACCCAGGATTGACCCTGCCCTTTACTGGAATCCAGAATGAAACCTGCAATTCTTCATCCAGTCCACAGACTGATGCTCAAACCAGTGAGCAAACTGGCTAGGGCAAGAATAAGCATTCTTGACCAAATGAAAAAATAATGATATGTGCTGGGGACATAAAAGACCATTATCTTCAGACCAAAACACTAGGCATTTCATGAAACAGCACTTTCTGGTTTTACTTTTGTCCATGTTTAATAATGAATTTAGTTTTGTCAAGAATATATGTATTACTTTAATGTTCTTTCCTAAGCACTAACATCATGAACATAATTGAGGTTAAAAGTGGCACTTGAAAATAATGTACTTAGAAACACTTAAAACATTACATGTAGCAAAAAATATTTTGTAAGTAAGTTAGATATGAATACTTTGGGGTAGGCAAGTAGGTCTATTTCTCTGTACTGAGAGAAAGCTTACTTATAAAGACCATATTTGATGGCTGAGGAATAACTCATTTCTTCCATTTTATTAAATGCAACATTCACCCAGGGATCTCAATCAGCTTGAGAGTTTATAATAGCTCTGTACCAACTTCACAAAAACAAAACAAAAAGGGCTCCAATGGTCCCAGGCAATACCCCCAGCTCCAGTAGTACCCATGGCCCCCAGCTCCCAGCACCTCCAAGGGTTGGCCTGCTCCCATGATTCAGGAAGGTTTCTGTGGCCCCAAGCTCCCAATAGGACCCCTGAAACCCTGAAGGCAGGCAACCTCCTACAAACCCAGGTTCTTGACTAGACCCAACCAGGCCAACTACTACATACCCCAGCTTTTGATCCACCTTGCACCAGGCCAGCTTCCATATCACCAGATATGGACCTAGAGTAGATGTTGGTTTCCACAGATGTAAGCTTTCTGCTTATCCCAGCACCATATCTTCTTCAGCAGAACAAATTTTCAGGCTGGGCGCCCAAACTCTCAGGTTATGGACTGACTCTGAAGACCCTAAGCTCCAAGTTCCCCCAGCGCCAGCCACAATAACTCCAGCCTCCAATCAGGCTCCTATGAAATCAGGTTCCCAGAACACCCCAACACCAATCAAGACCCTGTAAACCTAGATGTCAGGCCCAACCCAGTGGTCCCTGGTGCCTGACTGGCCTCTGTTAATCCAGGACCTCTGTCTGCACATGCAGCCCCAAGTCCCAGGGCAGTCACCTCAGACTCAAGTGCCTGACTCCCCCCAATGACTCTAAGCTCCAGGTCTACCCCTACAGAGTCAGGCACTAAACTGGACCTTATGTACCCAAGCATCAAGACTGTCACCTTCTGACCAGTCACTAGACTTGTCCATCCAAAGACTCCGGCAGGAAGCCTGCTTTCAGACATCATCAATTGGGCCTCCTAGAATTCCTGGATAGGCTGACTGGTTAAGGACCTCGATTGCTCAAGCCAGTCTGTAAGAATGGGAAGGGCACCTACTTCCTTAAATATACAGATACTATCCCAAGACCACAAGGATTATGAGCTGAGAGTACTGTAACGCTCAGACCTGCCTTACAAGAAATGCTGAAAGGTATTTTTTAAGCTGAAATGAAAGAAGTCTAATAGGTAACATGAAAACATAAAAGTGTAAAACATATTAGTAAAGCTAAGTGTACAGACAAATTCATCCTGTAGTATGACGGTGCATTAATCACTTAAGTCTAGTATAGAGATTAGAAGACGAGTGTTGAAAACAACTAGAGCTATAATTAGTTAATGGATACACAGTATAAAGAAGGTATATTGTGACATCAAAACATACAATATGGAGAGGGGAATAAAAAGGTAGAGTTTTTCTACAAGATTGAAGTTAAGTTATTATCAACTTAAAATAGACTTTTATTTATAGAATGTTTTTTGTAAGTTCATGGTGACCCAAAAACAAAACCCTACAGTAGCTACACAAAAGAAAACAGAAGGGAATTAAAACATAACACTATAGAAACTAATCAATTCACACAAAAAAATACAGCAAGAGAGGAAGAAATGAACAAGGGTACCAAAAAACAGTCAGAAAACAATAAGATGGCATTATAACTTCTTACCTATTAATAATTACTCTACAGATAATTTGATTAAATTCTCCAATCAAAAGATGCAGAGTAGCTGAATGGATTTTAAAATATGACCCAATTATATGCTGTCTACTAGAAAAAGACTCATTTCAGGTTTAAAGACACACATAATCACAAAGTAAAGGAATGGAAAAAGATAATTCAAAGCAAATGGAAACCAAAAGAGATTCACTTATGTCAGGCAAAATAGACTTTAAGCCAAAACAGTAACAGGAGATGAAGATAGTCATTATATCTTGATAATGGGGTCAATTTATTAACAGGACATAATCATTATAAATAAATTAGAGGCCCAGTGAACAAAATTCGTGGTGTCCCTCAGCCCAGCATGTACCCTCTCCAATCTGGGACCCCTCGAGGGATGTCCGACTGCCCTCTCACAATCTGGGACTGCTGGCTCTCAACTGTTCACCTGCCTGCCTTCCTGATTGCCCCCAACTGCTTCTGCCTTCCATCCTGATCACCCCCTAACCACTCCCATGCCAGCCTGATTGATGTCTAACTGCTCCCCTGCCAGCCTATTTGCTCCCAACTTCCCTCCTCTGCCGGTCTGGTCACCCCTAACTGCCCTTCTCTGCAAGGTTGATCACTCCCAACTGCCCTCCCCTGCTGGCCATCTTGTGGTGGCCACCTTGTGTACACATGGGGGCAGCAATCTTGTGTGTTGGAGTGATGGTCAATCTGCATATTACACTTTTATTATATAGGATATTGTGATAATCATTCCATAATATATAAATATTTCAAATCATCATATTGTATGCCTTACACATACAATGATACATGTCAATATCTGAATAAAAGTTGAAAAAAACAAGGATAAGAGAAATTGAAAAGTACTTGTTTTTCAACATTTATATATCATTTACTGTCCTCCTTAAGCCTACCAATGATACTCAGCGATACATAAAACATCTTTTCCTTTCATGAATTAAAAGAAATCTTTGCCAAACATATTATAGCATTGGTTTCAACTCTGTTGGTGATGCAAAAGGACATAAAACATGATATCTTTCATCAAGAAGTTTTCAATAATCTTGAGAAGGAAAGAATAATCCATAGAACAACTAAGGAAATTATTATAGTTGCAAATAACCTCAACTAAAATATATGGTTTTGATTCTAAGGGCAAGAAATAATCAAATAAGGAAATGAGTAGCATATGTTAGGGTATTAACATATGCTACTCATTTCCTTATTTGGTTTGATTGAGAATTATGAAATTTTTTCAGAGAAATTATGCTTGAGTTCAGACAGGAAAAAATAGGTATGTTATTTTATAGTGAGAATAATGTGGAAAAAAGAAGCAAATAATTTGTATTTATAAAAATTATGAGGCACTAGCTTAGTGAAAGTAAAAAGTTTGTAGAAAATACTGCAAAATTAATTCATAAAAGCAGGACAAAAGTGATTATGATAGATGTGAAAACCAGTAGAGACATTTG